AAAAAAAAAAAAAAAAAGACTGACCTGATGGCCTTCTTCCCCTGCAGCACAGTGGATGACAATCCTGACTTTGACAACTTGGACATTGTGACTCGGGATGAGGAAGAGAGGTACTTTGATGAGGAGGAGCCTGAGGATGCACCTAGCCCAGAGCTGGATGGGGACTGATTGCCACCACCCTCCTGCCAGCCACCTGCCCTGTCCCTCCTCCCAACAAGGCAGCTGATTACAGGCCGGCTCAGTGACTGTTTATCTCTCTAGGGGGACATCAGGGCAGCACCTGCCCACACCAGCCTCATTGGGTCTTGTCTCATCTCAGACAACCCCCACACACAGTGGGGTTCCCTACCTTTCTCCCTCTCTCCCTGTTGTCCCCTGCCTCAGTCATTCTTGCTATCTCTCTGAGTTTCTCCCCCTATCCGTATATCACTGCCCTACCCCCTTTCTCCCTCTCTGCATTGGGCTATGTCCCCACAGCAGACTCTTTGTGCGATGAGCTGGCCATGTCACTTCCAGTGCGACCTTAGGCTAGGTGGCACCTGACCCCGAGCACCTCTGCCTTTCCCTACCTCTCTGTCTGGGTGGCTGTCTTGTGTTCAGTACTTCTTTCCTGTCTCTCCTTCCACTTTACCCTGGGCCTCTTGTTCTTTCTACCTGTATGTCTCTACTTCCCTCTCAGCTCTGTGCTGTCACTGCCTCCCTCTCTGTCTCTCAGCCTTTATCTGGGCTTGTCCCCCACTCCACACCCTGGGCCCCTTCTTCCCCATCCTCTAAGCCTGGGTGCTATGGGCAGCAGAACACTAACCGCTGAGCAGTGTGGCTCCACGGGCAGAGGGAGATCCTGGGTAACCACCAGCACCCACATTTCCCTCAGGACCCAGGCTGGGGAGGGCTGGGCATGACTGCAAACTGGGAATCATGGGGCCTGCCAGCTTGGGCATGGAGGGTATAGGCAGGGGGGACTTCTCAGCCCCCCGCTGCCCAACCACAATTTTCCTTTCCTTCACTTCCTCTGCCTCCCTCTTCTGTTTACACTCCCCAAATACGCACAGGCTGTTATCATGGATCCTGAGTCATCACATACACACACACACACACACACACACACACACACACACCCTGTCCCAGCGTCCCTGCCCCCAGCCAGCCACAGGGCCCGCCCCACAGAGCCCCCTGCCGCCCTGGGCTAATGGGAGCCAGATGGCCGCCTGGTGACTCAGCCACCGGCCTGTGGGAACCCAGGCGTCCCGCCTTCCCATGCCCCCACACCCAGCTCGTGCTCCCCCAGCAGACACACACAGACTGGCCACTGGGGGCAGGGCATAGGCCAGACAGGCTAGCAAGGTGGGGCCTGGGGACCCCTCCCTCCTGTGAGATGAGTGGTGGCAGGCATTCCACCCTAGCTGAGCCTGAAGGAGCCTCAAAACTGCTTCCTGAAACCGTGTAGTTCCTAACCTCAGGGCTCATCTCTGCCCTCTGGGTCAATCAGGATTAGAGCCAGACATGGAAAGTGAGAGCTGGACAGAGGCACAGGGAGATTCTGACCAAGCAGCTATTAAATAATGAAAGCTCCGGCTACTGTGCAGTCCTGTCCTCTGGCAGGCATGAATGAAGTAAGTGCCTGACACCAAACAGCCTCAGGAATTGGGGCCTCTTAGCTCCACTTCACAGATGGGCTAAGGAGGCCCAGAAAGGAGTTGAGCCTTACTCAGCACCATCCAAGCAGAACTGAGATGGGAACCCAGGTCCTAGAAACCACTCTGCTATCTGGCTGGTCAGGTATTGAGGCTGGCATCTCTAACAAAGGCTAATGCCTTTGGGGCTGGCCCCACATGCTGGCTACAGCACACACACCAGTGGTTAAATCATCAGCACTACTGGGTCAACAGGACAGCCCCATGTGGTGGGTACTGCTGTGTGACTGTCCCATCTCCCAGAGGAAAGAACAATAAGGCCCAAGATAACCCAGCCAGCTAGACCTCAGAAGTGTTGGGGTCACACACCACTTAGAAAGATGAGAGCGAGAAATGTGTGTCTCTTGGGTGGCACCTGTGGCTCAGTGAGTAGGGCATCAGCTCCATATACTGAAGGCTCGAACCCAGCCCCAGCCAAACTGCAACAAAAATAGCCAGGTGTGGCGGGCGCCTGTAGTCCCAGCTACTTGGGAGGCTGAGGCAAGAGAATTACCTAAGCCCAAGAGCTAGAGGTTGCTGTGAGCTGTGGTGCAACAGCACTCTGCTGAGGGCGACAAAATGAGACTGTCTCTTAAAGAACTGTTTGTCAAGTCTTAGGTGCTTGCGAGAGTTCTTTCCTAGTACAGGGATCAGCCCTTGGTGATGCACGTTTTTGACCAGGCTATCATTTGGTCATTAAATTTGTTTATAATATCCTTTGCCATACTTAAGTTTGTGATATAGTTTTAAAAAGAGAAACATAGCGTTTGAGTCAGAATTAGGGTTAGTCAGATGGTCAAGACAGGAGTGTCTGTAGCTGAGACAGAGGTGGAGCCAGTCACAGGAACTGGGATTAGAGGGGAGACAGGAAAAGAGGTGGAGACAACTGGGGCTGGGATGGCGAGACACACCCCCGTCCCTGCCTCTACTGCCTCAGAGCAGCTGGGAGACCTGGAGGTGCCTAGGCTTCCAGTTCTCCTCGGTTGGGATGGGTGGAGAGGCTGAGTCAGGCAGGGAGGGCCCCATTGGGAGAGCCCCTTTGTGGGCATCCGGCCCCACCCCCGTGTCTCTGTCTGTCCTGGCTCTGGCCCTGCTCTGCTGGCCTCCCCCCCCCCCCCCCGTGTCTGACACCTCTGTGCGTCTTGCCAGAGCTAAAGCTGCCTCCCTGCACCTCTCATCCCCAGGCTTCTCCAGCTCCCTTCTCTGTTCCCATCTCTATCTGCTCCTTTTCCCCTGCTCCTTATTTCCTTGTTCTGGGCCTTTCTCACTCTCCTCATTTCTGTCACCCTATTACTTTGTTCCTCCTCTTTTGCCTCCCCTCTCTCACTTAACTCCAACACCCCCCCTCCCCCGTCAATTCCCCCGTCCACTCAGTGTCCGTGACTGTTGTGTCTGTCTTGGTCTCTGTGCTCCTGTCTCTGTAACACGGTTGCCCCATCCCTCCCTTTGTTGGAGCCCCCTTTCCCCCAGTCTCAGCTCTCAATTTTTCCTATCTCTGTCCCTGCTGTCTATTGGTTCACTCTCCTGCTTCTATCCCCTCTATCTCCCAGACCCTGGGAAACTTAGCTGCGATGTCCAGGTCAAAGCCTTACTGGTTGCCCCCTGGGAGCCAAGAATGAGGGGTCACCACTTCACCCTACCCAGAAAGGGGGCTGGAGGGGGCAGTGAGGCTGTCTGGCCTGAAGGAGACGTCTGTGCTGTGGCCTGGTCACCCTCACCCCCAGGACCTGGGTTGCTGCCGCCCCCAGGCCGGGCCAAGTAAACACAGCAAACACAGTCGGCGGCAGCAGCCTGGATATTTATACCGAGGCCAGGCATCGGTCCAGTGCCCACCACAGTCCTTGCCCTGCCCTGCCCTGCCCGCTGCCCTCCCCAAAGCCAGCCCCAAGCCAGCGTGGCACCAGCCGGCAAGGGGACGCACCACAGACACAGCCTCCACTTGGCACAGAGACCAATGGGTACTGGTCGCTCAGATGCCAGTGGTTTCGCAGCTCTCTGATGTCCCTCTCCCCCCGCCGAAAACACCAGCATGCAATACAAACCAGCACTCACCGCTGCCCATGAACACACACACACCCCTGCTGAGAACTCAAAATGCCCTCAAAGGTGATGTGAACTGGAGACCAACACACTTGAGGTCTCCAGCCCACGTGTGGGGACAAAAATGCAGACACCACCTGCTCAGACACCTACACAGGCTGAGAACACCAGCCCCTAAGATGGACACACAGACACATAACACTCAGAAGTTTGTGAAAACCACAGCAAGCATGCTTAAGACACACCACGTAGACACACATGCTCAGGATGCCAGTGATGTACACACTGATCACAAAATGTAACCCAGAAACAACTCACCTAGCTCATGTAAGAAACACTCCTCTTGGGAAAACATCTCTCTCACAGACCCATAAACATATGCAATGACCCCACATTTCAAGTCAGACTTGCATTAAGAATGCACAAATTGGGCGGCGCCTGTGGTTCAGTGAATAGGGCACCAGCTCCATATACGGAGGGTGGCAGGTTCAAACCTGGCCCTGGCCAAACTGCAACAAAAAATAGCCAGGCATTGTGGCGGGCGCCTGTAGTGGGACCCTCTACTTGGGAGGCTGAGGCAAGAGAATCCCCTAAGCCCAAGAGCTGGAGGTTGCTGTGAGCTGTGACGCTACAGCACTCTACCCAGGGCAACAAAATGAGACACAAAAAAGAAGAAAAAAAAAAAGAATGCACAAATTTGCACCCAGAAGAACTGTGAAGATGCTGAGAAAAAAAATATATGCAATAACCCCCACATTTCAAGTCAAACTTGCATTAATAATGAGCAAATTTGGCTCAGGGCACCAGCCACATACACCAGAGCTGATGGGTTCGAATCCAACCTAGACCTGCCAAACGACAACTACAACCAAAAAATAGCCAGGCGTTTGTTGCAGGCTCCTGAACTCCCAGCTACTTGGGTGGCCCAGGCAAGAGAATCGCTTAAGCCCAGGAGTTGGAGGTTGCTGTGAGCTGTGATGTCACCGCACTTTACCCAGGGCGACAGCTTGAGGCTCATAGCAAAAAAGAAAGAATGCGCAAATTTGCACCCAGAAGAACTGTGAAGATGCTGAGAAAAAAATTCAGACACGCAATATGTTCGACATACAGCAACACTGACTTGCAGAGGCAAACAGTGCCAGAATTCAGAACCCAAGGAAAACACACCAGCTTGTCCAGCAGAAATACAACACAGAAAGGCACACACCAACAATACAGTACAGCCGCGAGCACAAGAAGGTGAGCGCCTGCTGGGCGCACACACGTGCTGGGGACATTCGCGCTGACACCACCCCCCTACCAAACCCGGACGGAACTTGTGCCAGGACTGCTTGCAAACTCTTACACGCGCTAAAAGAGGTCCGAACGCATAAATTCAGGTTGGAGATACAAAATACTTAGGATGCCCAGAGATTTAGGGAGTAGGGGGCTTTCTCAGGTTTCCCTCTGTCTCCCTTCCCCTCCCTAACCTCCCCCACGTTAAATATTCCCGCCCCCACCCTCACCCCTTGTCTGGGGGACAGGGCAGGAAGGCCTGAGCTGGCCGCCCCCAGCCGCTTCCTGCCCTGAGGGGACCATACGGGAAGCTGGGGCTCCAGCCGGAACCCGGGCTCCCCCCACGACTTCCCGCCGTGGCCCTGGCTGCCTGCAGAGGCGGAGGCTGGGTGCGGGGCGCCCCGAACCCCTTGCCCTGGCCCTGCGGTCGACTGAGGGCGGGGGCGGACTTGTCCCGACTGGGCCGAACCGCCCATTGAGCCGGGGTGCCAAGGTGGCAGGACAGGGGCAGCGCGCACGGGCCGCTGGGGAAGGTGCTGAGCCCACAGTTTCCCCGCCCCGCCCTCCGCGGCGGTGCCAGCTCTGGGCAGCGCCCCCCTTCCCGGCAGGTGGGCGGGGTGTGTCACGAGGGCGTGGCTGGCGTAGGCCGACCGCACCGCCAGTGTGTGGCCAGTACTTGTCCTCAGGCCCAGGCAAGGCACGAGATGGGGACGGGCGTGTGCGGGCGGCGTCTGTGACCCTGGGGGTGTGTCTGCTCTGTCTGGGACCCTGGGTGTGACAGCGTGTCTGGGTGTGGCGGGGTCGTTGCAGTCTGTGAGGCCCTGTGGGACTCCCCAGGCTGGAGTGTGGGAGGGGATTTGAGATGTCAAACTGAGTGGTTACCACCTGGCAGTCTGACTGTGACTGTGGTGTGTGTGGCCAGGCCTGTGGCTGGTCTGACCCTGTGAGTCCACACCACCTGTTTGTGACCATGACCCCATGTAACTGTTGGTGTGGGGAGGGTCCATTTCCTGATGAGGTGCTGATGCTGTGTGTGTGTTTGTGCGTGACAGTGTCTGTCTGAATCAGTGTCTGGTGTGCGGTGGCTTTGACCATGACCCTATGGAATATATTTGTATGACTGTGTTTTGACGTGTTCCTTGTTGAAGTCCCTGCTCATGTTATGACCCAGTGAAACTCCAAGGATAGATCATGTATCTGTGATGGGATGACAATTTATTTGTATCTATATGTGGGCTATGACTGCTGTCAGTGACACTGTGTGTCACAGGAGTCTCTGTGTGTCCCCTGGGAATGTGAAAGGTGAATGAGTTTATGTAGTTATGGGACCAGCTCTGTATGAACGTTTGTGCGCATGTACCGTATCTTGATGGGGCTGCAGTGATTAGTCCATGTCACCTTGCCCTTGCTTGTGTCTCTGACTTTTGGGGCTAGGCCTCAGGGGTGTCTCTACAAACCTATTGGCATGTCCTTGCATAGTGAACTCCAGCCCTCTGCGACTCCCAGACCTTGGAGTTTTACCCCCAGTCTGAGCCGGGAAGGCCCCGTGATTCACTTACCCAGACTGAGTGCCCCAATAGTTCT